ATGCAGGCGGCATGGAGTGCATACTCCGATGACAAAGTGAACTGGATTGATGACAAGGAGAGGCAAGAGTGGTGGAAATTGAGGATTCAGCATGAAACTGTTCGTCCTCATGGTGTTCACTGTTCATCTATCTTGATCTATCTTAATCTATCTATAGAACCGTCTTTGCATGGAAGTTGGGAAAGCGTACTGCTTGGGTGGAGTACTTGACCTACCACCATGGGCACCTGCTTTATTGAACGCAACAAATCCTGCAAGACGGATTGTAAAACCACTCAGTCCCGCGGTTTTGAAAGCACAATACGGGCCCAAAGACCAGGCGCCGATTCTAGCGACATATGAGGCCGACTGGTGGAATTCTGTGGGCGCCAGCGGTGAGAATGAGAAAAAGCTATTGAAGGCGCATTCGGATGAGGAGGAAAAAGCTTTTTGTAAGTGGATCGAAGCCATGGGACAGGTATTTACACACTTGATCTGTTGTCCATCGATTTTATTGATACCTTCTACTGTTTAGCCATACTGTGAACCCAACATGGAAGTCGAGGACGATGAGGCTGGCATTCCAGTTCTGCCAGTGCATGCGGCCACAGCAGCAGCAAAGGTTCATGGCGCACAGATGTGGGTCCAACACCTCTTTTTTCGTGGTCGCATGGAACAAGACCAGCTCCGAAACGACATAGAGGCCATTGAGATTTTGATGGACCGGCTACATCAACGGGAGATTCGCTTGCAGCCCGTCGGTCCCGTACCCGCAGGCCCTTGGCAGGATGCTGGGGCGCTCCGCACGGGCGCCGTCGCCCCTTACTTTGAACAGCAACCTGAAGACGAAGAGCAACCAGAATACCAACCTTCTCCTGTGTCCTCCACGGGCTTGAGTTGGCCAGCATCAGGACACTCCAGCACTGGTGACTCCGCAAGTGATTATGGTTGGCCTGCCTTCAGAGAGGCGCAGCCAGGTGGTAGTGAGGGAGATGAAGATGGATCTGGGCCGATGGATCTTGATGAGGGTGACTCTTGAGTGGCAATTTTTACTTGAGCAATAGGACATGTATATATCTCTTCTGGGTGCGGAGCAAGGACCGTTGACTTTTGAGGGTCCACGCGTGCGGACCTTGTGACTAAGAGGCGCCAGCACCATGTTGACGAAGAGGCGCCAGCGCCATTGTGACCAACAGGCGCTAGCTCTGAAAACTTACCAGGCGGCGCAGGCGCACTAGCCACAACGGCAAAGTTACTGTGTAATGGCGCTCGCCGAATGGCAGCTAGCAATCATATATACTGGTGTTCATCCATGTGCCTGCTGGAACTCCTAACCTCTCATGAACTTTATTGCGCATGTAGTATGAAATGCACCCCCTTTCTCCCCCTTCAAACACTGCCCCATGTGAGATCACTTTGCCAGCAACCCCAACTATTGTCGATGGGTTGTACTTGATGGATATGCCTAAACCCGGGAAATCCATGATTCCAGTCGAGTCTTTCTCTCCCAAAGGCACTAGGACATCAATCCACTCATTGCGCCCTTTGGTGTCACGGTGTACTGGTGTTGACCGGTTGCTAATCACTGACAAGGCGCTGAAAGGGGGAGTCCAATGCTTCAGCGCCGTGTACAATTCTTCCTCATCATCCACAAACCCATTTTCTGTCTCGAGGCGGCGGAGTGCCTCCATTCCCTGCTCATAAAGTTGTGGATGTATGATACTCAGGATGGCGCCAATCAAAGCAGATGACTCTTGCATTTCCAGGCTCCACTGCGCCCCAACGGCGCCACGCTTCATTTGCGCGCTGACTTCAAGCTTGAACTCGGAAGACTGCAGATCGTTCAGACTTTGTTTATGGATCCAAAGAGATTTCACACCTCGTGCCCTTGCTGGAACCATGCTGGCGATAAACTCACGGTCCCGGGCTTGAGTTGTTGACATTGCTCTGCAGGCCTGTAGTGCATTTTATGATTCCTCCAGTTAGTAGTAGCCTTGTCGTCTATCGTCAAAGCTGATTCAAGAATTTTGAGGAACTTCCAGATCTGCAACTGAACAGGGTTTGAGATTGTACACCCAGCGGCCATAGTCACATACCTGGCGTGCTCCTGAAAGGATGTCAGGCAAATACCAAACCAGCCCATTGTTATGCATATCCGTTACCACAAAAGGCAAACTTTTATGGACAATAGGTGAATAGATGGGCGGGTACCTATTCAAGATTTTCTCTTCTGTTTTACGATTTTGTCCGGTCAGGGCGGCGCCGATGGTATCGCAATACCTCGTGGCATCCCATGTTGTGCGGACTTGAAGAGATCAATCAACCAATTACTATGTGAGCAGGCGTGGCGCACTTGGGTGTTTGAAAGCCTCAACCAAAACAACAACTATCCCATTGCAGTCATCCAACAGGTCCAGTGTCCAGTGCAGGGGAAAGGGTGTTTTTTGTGCTGTTCCATGGAGGGTAGCCTGGAATTTAGCTTTGAGAAAGTCAGCTATTTCTTGAGTGAGCTTGAAACTACTCAAGTCTTGCAGCATCGCAGCAAGACTGGGGAAAATGGGTGGGGAATATTGGCTGGTTGGCGAAGAAAAATGTGGTTGCCTGCAGGCGCAACGAGGCTGCCGCCAACACAGATGTACAACAGGTAAATAGTATATCTATTTAACTTTCTCCTACGTGGTCCCCCACAGTTATACTAACGAGGCAGCACTCTGGTTAACTGCATCAAAGACAAATGGGCGCAACAATGGGATCCACGCAATTGGGCGCAACCCATGGGCGCCAGATGTACAACAGGTAAATATTTAACTTTCTCCTACATGGTCCCCCACAGTGATACTAACGAGGCAGCACTCTGGTTAACTGCATCAAAGACCAATGGGCGCAACAATGGGATCCGCGCAATTGGGCGCAACCCACAACAGGTAAATAATATATCTATTTAACTTTCTCCTACGTGGTCCCCCACAGTGAAACTAACGAGGCAGCACTCTGGTTAACTGCATCAAAGACGAATGGGCGCAACAATGGGATCCGCGCAATTGGGCGCAACCCATGGGCGCCAGGGGTAAAGTCGGCCGATCCGTCCTCTATGGGGCTCTGTACTCGCGGCCCACCCATCTCGCATGGCCTATTTTAGAGTCTCGGCCCAGTCATTGCCAAGGCCGAATTTTTGACAGCTCGGCCGAGTCCGCTGGCCCGCTGTTGATGGGCGCCTGTCACACGCCGCTGGCCCATCAGTGATGGACCCATTTGACTGCCCTAACTGCGGACTGTACTCGAAAGTTGGCCTGCATATTTTCGTGATGACTCCAAGGTGATAATCAAGCCCATCAGTGTCGTTCACCTACTCCATACATCATACAAACTTTTTTGTGACCTCTGTCAAGGACATCTCCTTGTTGAATCGGTCAGCGCCCACTTTCCTCATCTCAATCGCTTGCTTGCTGATTTGCTTGGTTATTGCCACATTGCGTGCGGTTCCTTAAATTCAACTCTTTACGACAGGCCCAAGACAGCCCTAGGCAAGCATCTCGACTGGATTTCGCTTTGAATCATCTCCCTAGCCCGTTTGGGCTGGGAACGGCAGTATTTGCCGAATGCCGGTGACGCACTCAGATGCAAGGGATGCTGTTCTCATCCCTCAGCTTCCCTCTCGACTGAACCACCATACAGTGGTCTGGCAGGCGTTTAATAGCCGCTTGAGGGGAGGCAAATGGTTCCGTCATTTCCTAATCTGGAGTTGGTTGTTTTGGGTTTCAAACTCTGCTTCGAAAACATGAAGGGGGTTTTTGGGTTGAGGGGGGCGAGAGAGAGGTTGGGTTGGGTTTGTTTGAGAACTAACCAGTCCGAGAATTAAATTTGCCGCAACCCACCAGTATAGATCTATATAGAAGCCAAGTATCTCTTCACCAAGATGTGAGGACTCGGACCAAGTATCTATATCAAGTTCCAAGAATGATCTGTCCTTGTGATCATTGTGAAATGCAGAGGGAGTTGTAATTGGCGATCCGCGATTTTGATTGATGGTGGCAGTGTCGGAGAAGTCCTTGTCTTAAGCCAATCTTAAGCTTTTCCTTTGCCACTACTCAGAACTCATTTCCTCAACGACTCGTTATTACCAGTGCACATCGCCTATATGTATGCTGAGGACATAAGCAGCTGGCGGACTTTTCTCGGTCGGAAACGTTTGGGGTAGCCATTATCAACCGTCGTGGCACTGCTGGCGTTGACGGGGATAAACACTGGCATCTCCAGCTTTCAACACTTCCTCTCAGTGGAGAGCCAAGTAATTATGGCAGAACCCATGATCATCCCAAAGCGAATCAATGAATCTCAAGCGCGCACTATTACAACTGCAACCCAGAGTGATTGGCAGTTGGTTCACTCTCATACCCCATTCACGCTACGCTCGCTTCTTTCCGAGCCAGACTATTCTTCGTTTTGTTTTTCATTTTTTATCGTGAAGGTTTAGTGTCAGGAAGCGACAGTATTGGTTTCAACGTCCAGTCAGCTCGGAGTGGTTCCTCTTGCGGACCGGTCCCCTGTCTTTCTATGCTTGATTAGTCCTAGCTAGGGAATGGCGGCGTTTCTTCCCGGCCCACGGCTTGGAACTCTCGGGTGAGTTTCATTGTGTTAAACAATTTTAGAAGGCGAATTTGAAGGGAAACAGAACAGTCACTTGGATGCCCAGGCTATGTGCGGATCGATGGTGTAACCTGGAAGTGGTTAGGCGAAGTCAATGATATGCGAAGACAACAATGGGTTACACGACCGCAACGCGAAACATATTCACTATGGAGGCTGTTCCTGTCAGGTTCAACCGAGGTCGGTTAAGCTTTGGGTATTTTGAGCTCGTCCCTTAGCCCTCGGATTGGATTTGTCAATCCTCCCGTTCTCGTATCTATCCAACAAGCCTTTGGTGATGGATGGGAGCCTCGTTTAGATAATTATATCCGGATGTCACGGGACTGGATTTCCGGGTCAAGGAAGTGCAATGGAGTAGGACATTGACAAACGCAACCATCGACTATCAAATGACCTGCACTGCACCGTCGTCAACGGAGGAAAACAATGGTAGCTTGGAGGACAGGGTTCTATATCTTGCGAGGGCTAACGTTGATCAACTATGACGTGACTTAAACTTACGAGCGTTGCTTCAGGATCAAGATGTATCATAGCAGACGGAAAGCTTGTCGGACTTGCGTGACAAGTCCAGTGACGGCTCATCATCACTCTCCAATACCGGCGATTCACAAGTCCGTGCGTCTGATTCCCCATTTCCTTTTCACCCCATTCACAGGTCTAACCGAGGTTGCAAAGAAACACGCCGTTCTAACGATCTCAGTAGATTTGGGAACCCTACCGGCCTCAACTCCCTCTACGTCTGTGGTGGGGTTATCGGGTTTAGCAGGGATCCCGTAATTCGGTACGCTACAGGCAAGGCTGGCGCAATAGATAATCGAAGTTCTTGAGGGGAATCCATAGCGTTCATGCGTTTCGGAGAACCTTCTTCTTCAGGCCTGCTGCACAACTTGTATGCAGCACGTCTCTTGGGTGCGGCGGGCAGGTTTATGAAATTCATGCGGAGTGATACGCCTCTCCGAGAGGTTGCGTCTGGAGTGCATCCCTTGACTAGCTCAACGTATATTTAGGGTCCTGATAACTTGCTTGCAGCTCCTTGTTTTGGATTATTGGCGTACGACAACCAGGATGTTGGTTAAGTCAAAGCGCGTGCGTATCGTCCTGGCTTCCTGCTCCTGGCATACTGAGCTTACAGGGACGCCTTTGTAGATTGGACATTGTTTTCTGCAACCAGTTTGACAGATAATAGCAACTTGAACATACCGGACTCTTTCATATCCATGGTGCACAGCAGGGCTTTCTTCAACAATGCGAGCGATTTTGCAAGTTCTATACCGTTTCCGGCAACATACAATCCCCAGAAAGGGGCTTACTTGAATGGGAGTGCTAGCCCTGTGGTAGGGCGGTCTTTCTCTGCTTGCACTGCGGTACGGGTTTACTGCCTCACTGCGACGTTTCTATCTAACTCCAGGTCGTCTTTTCAGACTGCCAAATCTATCCATAACCTTTTTTTGGATTATCATCCCCCCACGCGCCGCTCTTTGAACCTTGCAGTTGTTGCTGTTTGCGCGGTGGTTTGTTTCATTCTTTTCTGCCTTGTTTCCGATCTCCGTTGGCGAAGACGAAGACAGCCAAACAAGGGACGAACAAACATGCTGCGGTACCCTACACCGTGGGCTGTGGTGTATTACCTCGACTCGGCCCGAGATGGATAAGGGGGGGGGGAGGGAAGATGAAAGGTCTTCACCGCCATCAGCGTCGACGACGCTTTCCAGGATTCACCGTCCCTTGTATGAGTCTACCTATTCCAGAAAGTGTCAGTCGAGGCGGGCTTCCCAGGAATTGAATTCAACATCACCATCGTGGGATTCACGGAGGATTTGACCCCATTGTTGTTTTTCTATTACTCCCAGCAACGTCAGTGTCAGACGATGCTTCTCAGGCTGGCTCCGCTGAGAAAGGTTCTAACGGAGTTCGGGCATCCTCAGCTCCATGTACCGCAGGAACACAGAGAGGAACCACCCTCTTTGCGACGTTCACCCAGAGTCCGGACATCATCGCGGAAATGAGGACAACACCTCGTACTACGGTAATATTCTCCCTGTGTACGCCTGGGATGACCTACTCCCTATACACACCTGGAACGACCCAATTGCCTGGAGCATCGTTTTACGGACGTATGCCACCAAAGCGTTAGGCTACAGCTCCCACCCGCAACGACTCCCTCCCCTCTTGCTCCCTGAGCTGCCCTTCCCGAGTCGCCCAAATCAACGGCAACACCACCGAATCCTTGACCAAGCGAACCTGCTACAGCATTCCCAGCCTCGCTGTACGTTTCTGATTGGGTATTCTCTCGGCCTGCTATGCCTGTATCGATTATCGATGACCAATGATGACTCGATGGTGGAAGTTGAGCAGTTGATGCAGATGTTGAGGATGGCCCCGTATGAGCCCGCCTGGATATACTGAGGATTCGGCGCGGCGGAGGCGGCTTTTACAAGAACGCTCTGGGACTGCTGGTCGTTGAACCTCAAGCTTTGAAGGGTTGTTCTTGCCTCTGAATGGACCCACTCTCCGTTTGCCCTTCAAATTGTCATGTCGCATTCACTGATGCCCTCCTCCTGTCAAGACGTCGATTGCATACCGAGAAGCCCAGTACGTAGGTATCTATGGAGTCATACTATTTGATTGAAGCAGAGAGGATCCGTATGGACAATATTGTGTACAGTCTAGGTAACGAGATAAGTAGAAACGTCTATCATCATAAATTTGAATAAAGGAAATATCCCAGCTATCCCAAAGACGTCGACGTTCCGAGGATATGGAAGGTGGTGGTGCATCTTCGCTATAACGGAGGCCACACAAGAAAAGAGTGAGGACGGCTCGATGAATGTGATTGAATTGTGTGCAGCGGGTGTGGGGTATGTAAAAATAATTCCTTCCTTGCACATGAGGGATGGGGGTAGGGTACTTTGATCGATCGACGGAGGGTGTAAGGTGGGGAAGGTGGGGATGGAAGAAGGAGGGAGGAAGAAATGGATGGTTGGGGGGATGGGTAAGTGAGTGAGTCCGGTCCAAATAACGTACTTATATGATGATGATGACAATGATGATGATGAATGAAAGCCATGACAGCAGCCCTGAATAGCAACCAACTCCCAACCTCAATACCTGTCGCCAGCTGAGGGTGGATACCCTCTCATCCCTCCTTTCTGCGGTCCCCCATACGGCTGATGATGTGGAGCGCCGTACAGCTGACCTCCACTGACCCCTCCCACGAGACTAGCTGGACCGCCGCCGTGATAGTTGCTCGCGTTGTCTTCTTCAGTTGAGTAGTCCATGCCGCCAGCACCAGCACCAGCAAGCAAAGGGTCTTTGACTTCCCACACGGCAGCCTTGGAGCCGACCGAGAACTCCAAATCCTCTTTCTGTATGAACGTGAGTAAACGACCGACAGCAACGAGGCTGAAGATACTCACGGTGATTGAATCCCAATACTTGTACACCATCATGACACTCAAAAGCATGCACAGCGTGAAGAAGAACAGGCCGTCGATGTAATGCTTGATAGAATCACAGATCGTGACACTGAACGCGAACAGAAGGACCTGGGCAATAGTGAAGAAAGCAGTGCCGAAGACAATGTCACCGATGGGCCATCGATCATCAAGCGTGCGGAACACGAGGATGAGCTGCGAGACAATATAGATGACGGTACAAACAAGAGGCCAGAGGATGTAAATGATCCATAGACCGATGGGCTTAGTATATTTGAACCCGGCGAATTGTTGGAAGGTAGCAATGGCAACGAAGAAGGAGACTCCCCATACGGCCAGGCACGATATCCGAAGGAACTAAGATTTCAAATATCAAGAAAAACTGGATGAATGACAGGGCAAAGAACGCACCCAGAGAGATAGTGGTGTACCGTCCTCTGCAAATTGGAAGCCAACAAATCCATTTATGAGCAAACAGGTGTAGGCGGATGCTACCAGGCCCGTATACACCGCAGCGAACCACTGGGGAATGGTAAGGACATTGGAAGGAGAAAAAAACGGATAACGACGCACCATATAAGTGACATTATCAGTTGGTATTATACCGGAATCGAGGAACATGGCGAGAAGTTCAATGAGGGCGTACATCCAGAAGAATGTCACAATTTCTTTCCGTCCTACATCGTTTGATGTAAGTCATCGTGAATTCCAAACCAGCGCAGCCTACTCACCAACTGCCGTATACTTGCTCCGTATATGTATGATCATTATGGCAGTCATTATAATGGCAACGATGTGAACAAAGCATGTTGCTGAATGAAGAGACAATATTAGCAACAGCGAAGGCCACGTAGAGTGCAAGGCAAGAGGAGCCGGGGGCTCTCCTCCAGTTTCTCGGCTGATCCTGAATATGACATGCATGACAGGCCCCAACGAAATTGAACCGAATAACGCTCTCAAGGGTTGCGAAAGATGACTGGGTATGCCAGGAGGCCGCAGATGTCCTTGACAACACGCAACCCGTCGCCCATGGCACCAGCAAAATAAAACCCCTTTCCGAAGAAAACCAATCGACGAAGAATACGGATGCGAACTCACATGGTTGGAATATCAGCGTTCCTCCTATCTCAACATTCCTGCTATAGCACGTAGGCTCTACCCCCTGAGACGTTTCTACGAGAGGGCAGATGACGAGGGCGGCGGTCTCGCAGATGGCGTTGAAGGATCCGAATTGAATCCCCATGGTGTTTAGTTTTGCTCAGCGGGTGAGGCGCTCTTGGGTGGTCGTCGTTGTCCTCCCGGTGAAAATAAGAAAAGAATAACGAGAGACTGGGTATGAGAGGACGACGAGGACGTCGTAGGCGTCGTTGCCGGGGTCGAGGAGAACGGTGGTGGTGTGGAGCAGAAGGGTGGCAACCTAGGAATTAGGTCAAGGTGTAAGGACCCCGGAAACCAGCCCTTCCCAATTTGGCATGCACTGCTTCTTGGCGCATGTCCGATTCTGATCAACGTTCGTTCAACTGCGCCCAACTTGAGCTCAGTGTTCCTCCCAAATTCCGCTGTTTGGGTGCTATCAGTACCTTTCCCTCCTATGGCGTTTTTTTCTCTTCAATTTGATGCCAAAAGAGACGGGATAACTGCGATGCAAAGACGCCATGATGGCATTTATCTCGCCATTCATCCTTGGCCCTTGTCGACGTCGTCGAAATGGCCTAGATTTATAGCTGCAGCACGGTGGAAGTCGAGCCCAGCTGCCCCGCAGAAACGGTGACTGCACACAAGCAGCTCGATTCCGATTTCACCAGTTTCGGCTCCTCAACTCCACAGTTTCATACTTGCGATAAAGGTCTTTCATGGAAGCGCATCCTATCGTCTCTGGATATCTACCAAATTACAAAATGCACGCGGGAGAAGGCTTCATTCCTACCGAATGAGCAATCTAAATTTATGAACAATAATGCGTGCAAGACTCCGAGTCCTCCTCGTCAATGTCGTCATGACTCGCGCGGGAAAAAACGTTCTCCTCTTCAAATAGGCCCACCACCCAATCCAACCGGGACTACAATTGAGCTATACATTGATTGGTCACTATTCGACTCATATCGCCTTCCAAATGCCATGTCTGCAAGGCGGTCCCAGCATCCACAATGCACATGCAGTTTCTTTGCGCCCACCATTGTCTTGCTTGTTAACCAAAGAACTCGCCCCGAAGTTGTTACTTAACAATAAGCGTTCTGGACCAGCTACATGAAGACATCAATATTTCAAGTGCAACAATTGGGTGACCTTACGGACACCCGAGTCACAGCACAACCACATCCCGCGCTGGCTACCCGAACAAAAGCGGCTGTAGTTTGAGCGGGTTCCAACCGGGTCTTCGAGGATGGGAACCCCATCACAGCGGCATAGGTGTATCCGACTCCTAACCTTTAACAAAAGCCTCCACCCTCTCAGATCTGTAAAGCCACACACCGCAATTCCAATTGCCTCGACGGCAGCCTACAACAATTGACACCCCATCCTTGGCGGTCGACTCTGCCCAATTCGAAAACTCATAAAACCCATTCTCGTCTCAACCATAACCTTCAGACTAAATCACTTCCTCGATTCCGTCTACCTACTCAACACACGCAATGGATTCCTTCAACGTTGCAGAAATCACGACGACCCCTGGCTCTGATATCCCTATTAACCAGGAACATCAGGGCGGCGCAGGACAATACGCCTATTGCGTTATTGCGTGAGGGTGCACGTCGTTGAACCCCTCGAATCACAATGCTGATCTCTCCCGTACGCCATTCCTCATTTTCTTTGTGAGCGCCGTACTAATGATTGATTCATGTGTTAAAGGCCTTCGCAATTCTCTTTCTATTCGTATTCGTTATTCACCTCAGACGTCTCATGGCGGAGGCGGTTGACTCGCAATCTTAAAATTTATTGGAGTGGGCGTTGGATTATGGGGCGAGTTACGTTGTGGGATTTACATATATTGACATGCTTCCAACAAACCAAGACTCTTCTTTCGCCAAGCTTGTTTTTCTAGTTATCAGCCAGTATCATCGCTCGTTAATTATTATTATCATGAACTACAAACGGTGTGATGTGAAATACTTCTGAGAATAGACGGTCCCATCACCCGGCAAGCGCCGACGTGCGCCAAGTCAGGGTGCAGAACTGTCGCTCGGTGATCGGACTGTCTCCTCAGGGTACATCCCCTTTTGGAAGGGTGTCACGTGCTTTCGCGCCCTTCCTCCTGCGCGTCGCTCACAACTCCTCATTGCAGGTCGACTGCCCGTGACCCCGCGCCTAATGCTAACCTTGGGGATGACGAGGCATTACCAAAAGATGCTGTTCAACAAACTCAGGAGGAGCTTCAACAAACTCAGGAGGAGCGAGAGCGTATTCTTCAATGGGTGAGTGCATTTTACAACCTTGTCCTTCAAATTAATGTGTGTAGGCAAGAGACATCGTCAAAAAATATCCCTACCAGCCACGGGAAGTGCGACAGGAAGCTGCTCGTGCAAAGGTATGTCATCTAGTCTTCCAATGGATTGATTCACAACTTACAAGAAGATATCACAGCATCAATTGAATCTCTGTGAACAGTGCGGAAGATCCACCTTGCAAGATAGTACTTAATAGCTAGTTCTATGTAGCGTAAATGATGGGATTCACAAACAAAAGCATGGATTGACTCGATATAATCTTCTCCTTTGAAATCGCCATGAGCCTAATAATATAGAGAATTTACATAAAACCCCTCAAATTTGTTGTGTGCCCACGAGACCGAGCCGCAAATGTGAACAGCTGGCTACCACATTTCATAGATAATAGATAGGGGAGGTAATTTCTGGAGTTATCAGCATCAAGTAGAACCAAGAACGTAGAAATCGAGTCAGAACTTACAAGCAAACTCCAAATTCTGCCCAAAGACTTTAACCCCCCCTACAAAATAGACACAGAACATGAACAGCTACGTGCCACATTTCGTAAAACAATGGGGCAGATGTTGGAGAGACCGACATCAATTAGAACACAAAAAACTAAAAGCCGAGTAGAAATTCACTTGTCAATGTCAATTTCCGGCCGCATTAGACCTTGTCTCAACAAAATCGAACGCTGAATTGGTACGGTTGCGTACCATGTTTCGTAAACTCAGGGGATACATTCTGGAGCGATTCCAGTTGAGTAGAACCTAAAAACATAAAGTTCAAGTATGAACTTACTTGTCAACGTGAATTTTTGGTGTTGGACCCTATTTCCTCACAGAACCGAATGCCAAATTTGAACGGTTAGGCCCCATATTTCATAAACTTGGGAGGTCACTCCTAGACCAATTTTGGTAAAGTAGAGCACAAGAACATAGAATACGAGCAGGAACTTACTTGTCAACCCAATTTTCGGTAATGGACCGTATGCCCTCACAAAACTGAACGCCAAATTTGAACGGTCGGGCGCCAAGTTTCGTAAACTCGGTTAGTCGCTTCTGAGGTAATTTTGGTCAAGTAGAGCCTAAGAACATAAAAATCGAGCAGGAACTCACATGTCAACCTTGATATCTGGTAATTGACCTTAATCCCTCACAAAAGCGAATGCCGAATCTGAGATCTGAACGGTTGGGAGCCACGTTTCGTAAACTCGGGTGGTCGCTCCTGAGGTAATTTCGGTCAAGTAGAGCCCAAGAACGTAGAGAACGAGCAGGAACTCACATGTCAACCTTCATTTCTGTTAATGGACCTTAATCCCTCACAAAAGCGAACGCCGAATTTGAACGGTTGGGAGCCACGTTTCGTAAACTCGGGTGGTCGCTCCTGAGGTAATTTCGGTCAAGTAGAGCCCAAGAACGTAGAGAACGAGCAGGAACTCACATGTCAACCTTCATTTCTGTTAATGGACCTTAATCCCTCACAAAAGCGAACGCCGAATTTGAACGGTTGGGAGCCACGTTTCGTAAACTCGGGTGGTCGCTCCTGAGGTAATTCTCGTCAGATAGAACCCAAGAACGTAGAGAACGAGCAGAAACTTAGATGTTAACCTTCATTTCTGTTAATGGGCCTGCTTCCCCCCACAAAACCGAACACCGGATTTCAACGGATGGGCGCCACGTTTCGTAAACTCGGGTAGTAGTTCCTGGAGTAATTCTCGTCAAATGGAGCCTAGGAATGTAAACATCGGGCAAGAACTTACCTGTTGATCTCATTTTCTAGTAATAGACTTCATTTCTCTGCAAAACCGAACGCTGACTTTGAACGGTTGGGCGCGTGGTTTCAAAAATTTGGGAGGTTGTTCCTGAAGCAAATCTGGTCAGATAGAGCTCAAGAACATAAAATACGAGTAAGAACTTACTTGTTTAGCTCAATTTCTACTGAGAGACTCTGTTTGTCTGCACAACTGAGATTTGAATGGATGGGGTTTCCATTTCGTAAACTTGAGAGGTGCTTCTTGTAGTAGTCAGCATCAGATCAAGCCCAAGAACATAAAATTTGAGCCAGAACTCACAGTGTAAATCCATTTCTGGTAGGGTCTTCTGGAGGGAGGATTTTCCAGACCTTCTTGATGCTGGTGCACGTGGAGATAAGATGGCAGGGCACATTCCGCCTCCTTAGATGCCTGCAATGGTACAGCTCAAGATGAAAGGAGGACGGGATCATCAGTCATGGGATCGGGGCAAGGGATCAAGGCAAGAGCTTGGAACCTGGGCCCGGGATGTCAAAAAGATAACCGAAAACTGTCTCTTGATGCGCAAGGGACTGTCTTTTTCAAGGCTTGCAACGGCTTCGCAAGGCGCGGGAATTTTTTTTGGCAGAGGATCTTGACGCATCTTGCAGCAAAAAGACGGTCCCAGCTGGTCCCTGCTGAGGAAAAAGACAGTTCCTTCAGAACCCTGCCGGTGGGACTACTTACCAGTCTAGAACTAGACCCTGGCGTGACATGGACCCTAGTTTTCGGTGAATTGATCCCCTCGCTGCCAAAGCGAGGCTGAAGCAGCGTCGTAATTGCCTTGTAAATTAATGTTTGGAATATCATTAAAAGTCCTTGCACTTTGAAAGTCAGTTTCTTCGGTGCCCACCAAACATCTTTCTCACCGTCTACGCCGATAAGCCTTTGTTGCCCTGCTCATCTACATAGTTCCCTCTCCGGGCACAATGTCGGTGATCTCGCCAAACATTGACCCTGTCGTGGATGTGGCGCCCTTCTATGGTCCTGCGCAGTCTCCTCCGCTTCAAGCCATGATGTGAGTAGTTGATCCAATTTTTTCCTTCCGTATGGGCACAGATGCCTGAGTGGGTAACTTGAATTCCGCCCCTCCTCCTCCCATTTGCCTTCTCCTCCTCTGTTTTGTTCCTGCTGTTCCCACCTTCATCTTCTGTGGGTGTGTTTTTTTGTGCAGCATGTTTGTTTCCGTTGTCACCACCGTCCGCGCGAGCGCTCGTTCACATTGTTTTTGCACGCTGTTCGGGTGAGGCTGTCACCGCTCGGTGCCTCCTTTCCCTTTTCGAGCTTTACCCTTTCTTGGCGGGATCTGGTCACAGATCGGTCACAGTGATCAGACTGTCTTTTTCGTCGGTCGCAGCCTTACTTCTGGCGTCGCACACGTTCTACTCATCCCCAAGCTACCACTCACAATCGGGACCAGGATTTTTCCGCAAGTCCAAATTTCCCCCAGTTTCTTGCGTCTCGAATGATGTTGCGTCAATCAGATGGACGGTTTTCAGACCAGTTGAAAAATAATCCTTGTTCTAAAAACCATCTGTCAAAGAGGTAAACAGGAAGTTCTGAGTAGAAATATCGACTTACTGTGGCGATAAATGCCAGAATCTCTTTCCCGATTATTCCACTACTGAAGTGAAGATAGGAAGTTGGCAACGAGAGAACCTCCCTGGGCACATCAACCTCAAACACCCTCAACGGAGTTTTACTCCGAACATCCCAAACCGACAATACACCATCATCCGTACCCACAGCAAACTTGGTCACATCAGCGGAAAATGCAAGTAAGGGCGCTCTGGCCCTCCCCCCTTTACGGTCGGCGCCATTGGGATTTGGAATCGAGACCTGACTAATCAAAGAAAAATCCAGATTATCTGTGTCACCAGTGCCGGAGTAGAAGATGTCAATTGTTTCGCTGATCTCGCCTGGGTTAAGAATAATACGCCTATCGGCGGGAGATAGTACAGCTTGAATAATGCATGAGGATAGGCCACCATATTTTAAAAAGGTTATGACAGACCGGGACGGTTGAGCTGTCGACCGTAATTTAATTGCCCACTTTTCACGAAGACGAAAGGACTCCCATCTTTTTTGGCGTGGTTAGTTCATGTTGGCGGGGACGGGCAAGGGACGGGCTGGCGACGACACACTTTCACAAAGTCTCCTGTCTCCTTCATCCTTCTCTTTGAATGACATTTCGAACGCGTGGCGTCTTCAGAGTGATCAGACACTGCCGATTTCGATATCTCATCATTGCTACGATTCTGGACTCATGAATGGTGGTGGCGATGGTTGAAGACAAACGTTGAGCAACACTGATTTGATCAGCATCAACCTTGCTCTCGATCATCATCTCGGCAATGCCTGCCAGCTTCGGGCGCTGTGGCTGCTGGGGACCATGTCTCGTCCTGCTCAGCTCTCTCTGGGCTATTTATCTCATTAATATAAGGCAACGATGGGTCTGTCCAGGAGATGCAGGTTTCAAACCAATGGCACCTCAAGGCCTCAAAGTCAACTGAGTCCAGGCTCCCTCGTCTTTCAATCGATGATATCTCTTCAATCCATTCGCATGGAGCCCTTGCACTCAAATTCCAATCCACATATGTCAAGGCTGCCCTCTGCAGTCACAAAAACCTCACTGACGAATTCCGATGGGTGTTTTGTGTTCTATATCGTAGGTATGACCATACAGTCATTATTTCTCCCAATTGAAACACTCATTTTCTTCAGACGTTCTTGTCTTTCCCCGCGCCTTGCCTGCATAACAAAGCGAGATTAAGTTGATCTCGGGACGCTGTCGATTCATGAATCGATCCAAACGATGATTCACTACCCACGCGGACCTTCACGTTCACATTTGGGTTACACATTCCACGGGATTTGTGCTGGCAACCGTGTTCGGTCGTGTCGAAGCCTTCTGAAACCCTCCCACTGCAGGTAGATGTATATCTCTCAACGAATCGACTGTGGAATACCACCAAAGCCACGGGATCAAAACGGAGCCAAGATGTATGTGCTTCACTTCGATTTTATTTCACCTTTGACTACCTAGATAACAATGATCTCCATATACCCAGATAGGACAGAAATCGTCCGATCCACCACCGTCTCCGTGGCATCGGGCTCATTCCACCAGACAGGTTTATGGCAGCCTTGAAGACATCAAAAGACCTGAAAAATGAATCTAGATTCAAGCGCTTCTCGTTCATTGACTGCGCGAAATCCGGTTGACCGCGTGTTCAGTCATGCGTCTTATCGATTCCTCGAGGCTGAAAGTTACCTTACCCAATTTTGTATTTGAAGACTTTTCCTCGTCCTCGAATTCACCCCACCTTCCTTCCACCGTGCCGCTGCTTAAGCGCTCATCAACGATTTACTGATCCTTGCCATCCTTGCGCATGTCACTCTTCGGTGACGTGAATCCACCGTTTGAGGACGAGAGGGAGAGCACATTCACTTCTACACTTTTTTCCCCTGAAGGTAGGATTCATCATTCACCGTTCACCGTTCCATTATATACCCATGTATTGACTACGATTTCAGAGACAGATGACGATTGTTGGGGTCAAGTGCCAATGAAAGCATCCTTATCCTCTCTTGAAGGCACGAAGCCAAGTGCATTCAGTTTGGGAGGATTTGGACCTGGTTTCCAATGCGAATCGCCCCCTGACACATTTCTCGATTTTGGGGCGTCAACTCGTACGTCGTGGAAGACCCGGAACGTATTGGTGCTGATCAAATCCATTAGTCTCATCAAACAATGCCCCTCCCGCAGAACCTCAAAGTGAGACCAAGGTCAAGACTTCGGGGAGTAGCAAAGGGGAGAAGAAACTCAAGGGGAAGAAGGGGAAGAAGGCGCAAGCGGCGGTTGAGTTTACGCCAGGTATTTATATATATCGTGCTGGCTCCACGAAAGAATTCGGAGCAGAACCTAATTTATTCTTACTCAGTCCAGAATCTGAAACCATATCCTCCGTCGGGTACGTCGTTACACCTGTTTCCCTGACTGTAAATCGAGTTAAACCAGCCTGTCTCCTGTGTGTGCAGTTACTGTCAAGAAGTCGCCCCGAGAAAGCGCTATGGAGAACCAGGACATCCTTGGTGAAATATTCAACATCATCAGTTGCGATTTGGAAGAGCCAGGAAACGTTGCATGGCAAACAAGGAAGACTCTCTTTTCTGCGGCGCGGACGTGTCGGATTTTCTTAGATCCCGCACTTGACGCGCTCTGGCGCGTTCTACCTTCCGTATTCCCATTGCTTAGAGTATTAAACTCTTTCCAGCTGGTCAACAACCAATACGTAAGGTTCACAAGTTATTCATCGTTTACCAAGGCAGCTAACCCGCTTGATCGCAGATACTACCAGACGTGAAGACCGAAGAATGGAGTACCTTAGAACGTTATACTCGCCGAGTTCGTGTCATTCGCCTCGAGAATACTTACTTTCACCGGAATGTCTCTCCTCTGGTCTACTTTCGGCTGAATCAGTTGAGAGGGTCTTCTCTCTTTCCAGCCCTCAGGGAACTGTGCATCCCGCCAAATGTCAACGTCGACTTGTTCAGCCCATTTTCGATGTTGTCGCCTAATATGCAACTGCTCGAGCTCAATAATAATGTGCTCTCCAGGCCAGAACTATTCCTTCCATTTTATTCCTTCGCAACCACCACTTCCCCCAATCTCACCCATCTTGTCTTACGCGGAGACGTTGCAATCAACCTAGACCCCATCTTCAATTCTGGATCTCTTCGTACGCTTGAACTCCACTTGTCTACCCAATCATATGATGCCATGTTCTTTCGGAAGTTGGGTCTCCTTAGCAACCTTAGGAGCTTGACGCTCCTCTGTTCCTCAAATGAGCGCCGCCGAGAACACAAAACTCACCCTCTCTCCTTTGTGCAGTCCATGGAAATCTTACACATCAAAGGATCTTTGATCGCCATGTCGGAAGCCATGCAGCAGATGTCGTGCAAGTCCCTGGTCGCCTTGACTCTTGAAGAAACTGCATATCGCAGCAACGACCCAGAGGGTTTGTGGTGGACGGAATGCTTAAAACCGTCGTTGGAAGGTGTTCAGTCTCTCAAGAAAGTTGTCATTACCCAGTATTCCTCTCATAATCATTCGCTCTCGTGTGTGCGTATCACCCCACTTTACCAACTCCACAATCTCGAGGTTTTAGAAATCAAGAATGGCCGATTGACATTATCCGAAACTGATTTTATTGTCCTCGTCTCTGCATTCCCCAAGCTCGAAAGGCTCTCTTTGCCTGATGTGTGCAGCGATTCCTGCCCTCCCATATCAGTGCTCTGGCAACCTTCCATCATACCGCCAACTTGAACCTTGCGAGAACTTCATATTTGTTGCTTTACCACGAATACTTGGGCTCAACTCCCAGTTGATTTGAAGAACAAGGAAATCGATCGCTCTATCGCTCATCATGGACTACGTCGACTCGCAATTAGCTCTAAGTTCCCTCAGGTCTCGGACACTGATGTTATTCATCTCGCTCGCCTTCTCGATTCTGCATATCCTAACCTGGCCGTCGTGGAGGGTTACGGACCCAATGCGCTCAATGATTATGGGAGATGGGATCGCGTTGACTTGTTCCGGGCTATGCTGCGTGACCTCAGACGCAAGATGTAGGCTAGTGATGTATGACGTACAATAAGCCATGCACAAACAAAGAATATGCCGTTGATACCTGCTCGCAGTGCATATCCAAAAATTTTCAAGCTTGAGAAACTCACCAACTTTCAATGCTCAAATTATGTACTAGCACAATAGTACCGGTCTGAGTACTTACGCGTGTTTGTTTTGCGACGCGTCTCGGTTTGCTATCACGTGACAAAAGAAAACTTTTTCTCTTTCGTCGTCTTGCTCTTTCGTTGTATAGGGTTATCATGGCGAAGCACCCTCGAAAACGACAGAAGACACACCCTTCATTGCCGCTCGGCGACGGCAACAATGCAAGATTAGAGATGCTCCTCGACGACGAGAGCAAGGACGACGAAGAGAGGAGGTTAGAGAGTATGCTATTTGGCGTCAAGTACGTTCCTCGGGGGAAAGGGAAAGGCAAGGAACCCGACGATGGCGAGGAGGGTGAAGATGCCTTGGATTTTGGTGGGCGGGGGATGGATCATCTTCTCGACAACGATGTATGATTTTTCCTGCCGTTCGAGTATTGGGTGGGCTAACCGTTGCTTTTCTAGTTGTTTTTTGTCGACGATGGTGCTGATGAGCAGCCAGTCATACCTTCTGTAGACAGCGACGACGACGAGGGCCAGTCCGACGACGAAAACAACTCCGCATCGTCAAGTTCTGATTCAGAGGCATCCACATCCCAGCCTTCCCTAGCTAACCTAACATCCAAATCGAAAAGGAAGCCCCCAGCATGGACAGATCCAACAGACATCAACCCCAACACCGGCGTCTCCTTGCTCTCGGGCCCCACGCGCCTGCGCAAACTCCGCCAGGGACCAGACGAAGACACCATCACTGGACGGGAGTATGAAACACGGCTGAGGCAGCAGTTTGAGCGCATCAACCCCGAACCGGCGTGGGCGAAGAAAGCGAGGAAGATCAGGCGCGGGGACGTTGATGGTTCCGAAGACGAGGATGCCAATGATATCTTTTCGTCGACCTCGGGAATTCTCAAGAAAAAAGACGCAGGAAAGGTCGTGCTAAAACAAGGCCAGCTATCTATTGAACGTCTGCGCGATGCGAACCAGGCCGCGCAGGGCTCGGGCAATGGGGAAGTGAGAGTTTTGGCTTTCCACCCTAGTCCAGCCGTGCCCGTCTTGTGCGTGGCTTCTGCTGATCGTCGAGTACGGTTGTTCAACGTAAGTGTCTCTTTTTTTGCTGTATATATGCGCCTTACACACTATCACTCAGGTTGACGGCCACCTCAACCCCCTACTAACAACCCTTCACCTCCCCAACCTCCCACTAACGTCCCCAACCTCCGCCCTATTCCACCCCAGAGGCACCTCCATGCTCCTCTCCGGTCCACGTCCCTTCTTCTACACCTACGACCTTCAAACTGGCACGAGCGCCCACCACGCACGGGGTCTTTGGGGGACCACGTTCGGGAGTGTCTCCGATAACACAACATCCGTCACCTCGTCCAGAAGGAAACGCGGCTCCGGCGCTACTGTGGATAAGGGAGAAGCGATGTCGTTGACGGCGTTTAGTCCTTCTGGGGAGTTGTTAGCCGTTGCAGGGCGCAACGGGTACATTCACCTTGTGGACTGGAAGAGTGGGGCTGGGCAGGTGATTGATAGCCTCAAATGCGCTTCTTCTGGAGGGGGTGGTGGCGGGATCCACGGGATGTGGTGGAATGCTGCTGGTTCAGATGATCATCTCACGGTACTAACGGGAGATGCGGAGGTGTACCTGTGGGATGTGGGTCAACGACGGTGTGTTAGACGGTGGAAAGATGAGGGCGGATTTCGGGGTGCTGGGAGGGCTCTGGCGGGTACTACGGCTGGGAATGGGTACTTGGCAGTTGGGTTCGTATTGCGTCCTTGATTTCACTTTTACTTTTGAAAGTTCACCTTCTTTTTAGGTCGAACACGGGTTTCGTGAACCTGTACGGCTCGGACTCATTCTCGTCCGACAGCTTCAACTCAAATGTGAATCCTAAACCGGTGAAGACCATAGGAAACCTAACGACTGCCATATCAACGCTACGATTCAACCACGACGCGCAAATTCTTGCTGTGGCAAGTAAAGAGAAAAAGGATTCAATGAGGATGGTGAGTTGGCTTTCTCTTCCCCTCACAATGCATCTTGTTGTCGGCTTCCTATTCTATTCCAAATTAACGTCTCTCTTTCACCAGATCCACCTCCCGTCCGCAACGTCTTTCTCCAACTGGCCAACGTCAAGCACGCCCTTGGGCCACGTCTCCGCGATCGATTTCTCTGCGCACAGCGAATACGTCGCCATTGGCAACACGAAAGGCCGTGTGTTATTGTATCATTTGAAGGAGTATGGGGCCCCAAGTGCTGAACGATGGGGTTACTGATGTGGGATACTTGAAAAATTGGCTTATCAGGAGGCACCATGTATGCAAATAGCGGAATGGAAGTTGTCAGTTGCATCTTTCCGATGGTCCGTCAATGGATCAGGCGTTTTAGCTGGTGGCTAGTTGGCAGTTGGGGTATTGTTCATTTGCTGTCCGGAAACGCCGACTCAACGATAAGCAAGGGATAACGCTGACGTTTGACTTGGGAACACAGTGACGACTCAACATCCACAATCAAGTCCCCGCGCAGTGCAACAAAAAGCTAATGATATAATGACTTTGGGTGGGCGTTTGAGGACATGGACGCCCTCAATTTTGAGTTTTAGCCTTCGACGAAAGCTTCTTTGTCCTTCCGCGCACTGGCAAAAACAATTAAAATCATCGCCTCGACTATGTCCACCGAAATCGTATAAAAACCGTCCACTACGGCCTCCAGGCTAAATCTTCCGCCTACCCAACTTCTTTCAACTACACCAACACAACTCAAGTTGCAATGGATTCTTTCGGCGCTATCGAACTCACCGGCACTGGCTCCCACATCCCCACCGACCAGGAGCATCAGGGCCCGGGCCAGTGGGCTTATTGCGTTGTTGCATGAGGTGTACTACTTAGGCATTATACCCGTACGTTCGATCTTTATTTTCTTCCAAAGGAGGGTCACGCTCAATCATATTGATATAAAAGCCCTAGCATCCTGGAGATTTTCTTTTATTCGGTTTCCAGCTAACTGCATAATCGTAGACCACATCTGAAATTTCACTTTGCGCCTTTGTCTGTGCGTAAACATCTGTTTTAGGCCGTGGCTATGTAAACCATGACGCCCATTTGCGCGCGCTGCCCATTGCTCCACGTTCTAGCACCGTTTCGGTAGTTGCTCCAAACGCCCCAATCCCGGCCCACACGTCATAAGGGTGGAGCGGTGGCGTTCTACCTAATATGGTTGTTTGTACAAATAAAGGCGCACAAAGTAAATTTTAGATATGGTCTACAATTATGCAGTTAGCTGTCATTCTTCGTTCGTTATTGGTATTCCGATCAGGTGTCGTGGAGTACGATGGCTGGTTGTTGACCACAAGTTGACCAGGGGTTTTATGTATATCAGGATATTTCGAAAAATCTTTGTAGTGATGATTGAGTGACGAGCTTACTTTACTTTCATCTTCCCCGTCATTCTCGTGCGTCATTCGTAGTACTGTACTACAGTAGATATTCTCACAATGCATATACTCGTAATGCATAAATCTCATAATGCATGACATTTTTAGGGGACCAACTTGGTACGCAGGGATTTATGCATGGAACGTCATATCGAATAATGCATATCATATTTTGGCATTATGCATTACCAGATCTACAGATTTATTGGGTATTTACCTGTTCACCTCATTGTACCTGAGTTTTTCAGGACCAAAGTCTACCCTGATATACCCTGTGTGCCACGAATACACTGCTTGAGAGTAGTATCCAATTTTGCCAACACTTTTCTATCATTCTATGCCAGCTGCTGAGGAGAAGAAGTGGAAACCTCGAGACAGGCACAAGCCCTATGCACCTTGTGGAGGGAATGGAGCTGTGTGAGTGTTTGGTGTGTCATCCACTCAGAGGCTCGCGGCATGTCAACACTGCTTTTGCAACAATAATTGCGCAAATTGAGGCCTTATTGAGGGCTCATCTTCATGTTGTTCAAGTGAAATCAGCCCGACAAACTACTCTCAACTCTTTTTTCAGTAGTAACCTCTCTCCCATGGATGTCGATAGCCTGTAAATACCAGTTTTCGTCTCGCTACATAAAGGACATTTCGAAGTGTGACATTTTTTGGCTGAGGTCACAAATAGTCACATTTTGTGACATATTTCATCTTGCATAAATCTCACAATGCATAGAAAAAGTCGGGGACCGGCATTATGCATTGTGAGAATATCTACTGTAATACGACCACGTCTTCACGTCACGCATCACAAACGGTTGTGAAGGAAGGGAAGTAGGCGTGATGTCACGCATCACACCAAGTTTTGAAGAGTTTTTTTCTTTGAATTAAAAATAGTCATTTTTTTCCGGACCTGCGTTGGACCTGCAGTGCCTTTCTTAAGCATCACATTTGGCATATTTAGAACCATGCCATCCTTGAGGAATGCATGCTTACCTTCCAGCCAAAAAATTGACAGGTTGCTGGGCCAAACCATCTGAGAAATATGTGGTGGACGAAGAACAAAAACTCTTCGTCACGCATCACACAGGACAATGAAGCGACGAAGAGATGGTCAAAAGGTGTCACACCCCAAGGGGCCTGAACAGTTGGTCGTATTAGTACAGTAATATCATGACCTGTATTCGGGACGCCGGATGTGTTATTTGTCATTTGCTTGTTCAAGCCAAAAATCCGAATGCAACAGGGACATGATTAATCTAGTGCTACTTCACGGTTGCTTCACAGCCAATATCCATAGTGCATGGCAGTGCTATTTACCTAGTCAATGGGTTTTTAATTCTGAATGGCTTGACCTAGACTTGTAAGGAACCTGTGAGAGACCGCAAAAAGCATGATGGGCTCCCAACAAGCAAAGTTTGCCCCTTTGGCTTCCATAAATCGTGATGTCAAACATAACTCTGTCTAAAACTTATCTTCAACCAATCTTCAACAGATTTCAAGGACTCTATCCAACTTCAATGGCATCAGGTTCACAGGCTGCGAGCACTTTTCTCACTGCCAACCCCGAATTCAGCTGTCTTGCCCTTGATAATGCTGGTGAGCTCTTTCATTGTTTCTTCCAGTAGAGTTAGTGATGTCATGACCATGGCATTCATGAAGACCCTGCCAACTGGACATGGCATGTGTGACGATAGTGACCACTGTGACTAGAAGTAACAACAGTTTGGTAGTGGCACACTGAGCGGGGTAGCGAACATGATAGACAGGTTTAGACTATGATATTCACTGGGTATTCTGGTTAGTGTTCGCAAGTTCAGTTCAGTCCGGTTTTTTGCCCCCAAAACACGCAACCGTGGACCGCAACCGGTCTAGGACTGACCCAGATATTGAGGGAACCGAACCGAACCACCTAGGACCGGTCTTTTGCGGTCTATGGAGCCGGTTCAGACCGATCCAGACCGGTTTTTTTGCGTATAATTTATTATACCAATATAAACCATTTGTATCTTGACTATTATTACTCTGAAAAATAAACGGTTTATATAAAATAGTAAAGCATGTAAATACCCATCATTCTACCAATTTTGAAGAGCTTTAATGAAGATTTGACATACAGTCGCGGACAGCCAAAGTCAACCAATTTGATATCTCAGGAAGGACTAAATATTTTGACATTCTGACTTCAGATTCGAACTCAGGATGTGAAAATACGTCCAAAAACACCTCTTTGAAGTTTTTCCCACGAGAAATTGGGTTGGCCAAAATTTTGGACTATTTTTGTCGTTCAGTAGGGCTCTTCAGTGGCTCTTAAGACCCCCTTGGCAGGCTCCCAGTGCCAGAGGTGACCGAAAAATTTAGTGGCTCTTGCCAAACATTATAATTCTGATTGGAAATCAATGATATACAATTTGCTAAAGGTGGGGAGAGGAGGGGGGTCAAAGAGACAGGGTTTATTGAGGGTCCAAAGGGGTGGGAAGACCCTGAATTGCCATTTTCGGTAGTTTAAAATCATTTTTTTCTACAAAAACGGCTCATCAGAATTTCCCCAAAGTCCAGGATCAGATGCAGCTTTAAAAAAGAAGTTGATTGCACCATTTTTCATGATTTTAGGGGTCCATTTAAGGGTCGGCCAATATTTTTGGGGTAAAATTTCTCATTTCATTGATTTTGAAAAATCGGCTCGTGGAAATCAAAGCATTGAGTCCTAATCTTCACGTTTCTGCAATAAAAAGTACTATTGAAGGTTGTGCAGGGTCCTCGTATCACCATCATAAAATTAGTTGACTTTGGCTGTCCGCGACTGTAGCTATGACTGAAACCGAATTACATCTCATAGAGACTCGGGTAAAATATGGATTTGGTTATATCTTTCTCAATTCTTAACCGTTTTTGATGAAAAAAAAACCCAATAAAAGGTAATAAACGTGGTTACAAGGGTATGTAACGCACGTGACCGTTTAACCGGTTGCAACCGATCAAAACCGGTTTTTGAACGGTTTTAATATATTTTCGAAATAAGGCAACCGGCAACCGGACCAACCCCAAATTGGGGCAACTGCAACCGAAAAAAAGACCGGACCATGGTCCGGTTCAGTTCGGTCCACCGGTTTTTTGCAGTCCTATGGACTGAACCTTTAAACACTAATTCTGGTACGAATGAGACCTTTAAGTACCTAAAGGGATGGGGGGTTTATCTAATAGGAGAGAACTAAATAAGGAGTGTGTAACTGCCAAGTAGTGAAAGGTCGGTCAGGAAGGAGTGGATATCTGGTCATTGGTAATAGTAAGGATAAGAAAGGGGTATCATATGCATATGTGTGTGGAGATGTTGATGAGTGGTGGAACGTGTGATGAGTCTGTTACATATGCCCTCCAGGAATTCTGCAGGAATTCCTGATCCATGGTATCCATCACATTGTAGCCAGCTGTGCACTTCGAAGGTTTAGGGCAGTGAGAAGTAGGAGCCAAGGAAGAAGATGAATGGGGGTATTCCATGGTGCGTGCGCGTTTGTTATTGGCTTTGGCTAGAGATGATTTGACATGATGTTCATCTTGTCTGATGACACGTGCTGCAGCTGACCATAATAATCTGCTGAGGACATGTGCTTGCGCAGGGTCGACGGCAGTACCGACTAGTTGGGATGTGACAGCTGCACCAGGGTTGGAGGAAGTAGGAGGTGTATCAACATGAGGGGGCGCATCATTGGGAGCAGTGCACTTCAACGATCTAGGGGGATGATAGGTCCAATCGACATCACTTTCTGAGAGCTGAAAGTCGTGGATAGTGGGGGGCATTCCCGAGGTATGAAAGTTGCAGAGGATGGTGTTGTGCGTGGCAAAGCAATAAGGTTGGTCAACATCAATGAAGTCATTAAAAGTGCTGGCGAATACTTTGTAGCTGACTGGGTAGACTTCAGGAACCTTCTCCTTGTGGATGAGGGCATCCGTTGTGCAATAGAGTGCAAGCTGACCAAGGTGGATGGTGCCCACATTGTCGATGTGAATGGTGTTACAGGAAGTGCGTTGAATGTAATCATGGGGGAAGAAGGGGTACGTTTTCTTTGGAATATTTTCTTTCAAAGGGTCAACAGGTTTGACAGCAGCTGTGTCAGCGGTAAGGGTAGAGTTGACAGCGGCGGTGTTGGACATGGTCAGGGTGTGATAGATGTGAAATCTGGAGTGAGGGATAAATGAGAGAATATGTGGGGCAGCAGAACTAAGGATGGAAGATAGCTGGGGAAGGTATTTATCTGACTGGTGGATAGGGGAATAAAATTGGATATTACCCACAAAGATCTGTGGGTCTTCAGGAGGTGTGCCATGTCTTCTTGGCAAAGAAGACACATTGGATACACCTAGCAAGTCCAGATAAACCGGCAAAGCATTTAGGTGACTAACTTGGTAATAAGGTAACCAAGTCTTATCACTGGCTTTCCATTTGATTTCAAATATGGTGTTTTCCCCAGATCCCGAGTGTGATAGGATTTTGTCAACAGCCCATTTGCCCTCCAAATCATTGCCAATTGACAATTGTGTGTCCATGCGGCCAGGAAATAATTGGTCATCATTTGGAATGTGAACCTGAAGTAAGGAGGCATGAAATACATCATGCACTCCTCTCTGCTTCAAATGAGCAGGTAAATCAATCCGAAATGACTGGTTTTTAAAGTCCCTAATAATTTTGTAGGGGCCTATATACTTAGGGACTAATTTACAGGCTAGTCCCTTTGGAAATGATATATTTTTAGTTGAAATGTAAACCAAGTCATTTTCCTTGAATGGCGCCAACTGCCATTTTCTATTTGCGTTGTGTGTTTGTTTTACGCATGCTGCAAGAATACTGTCATGCACTGATATAAGCACTAATTTCTTTTGTAGCGCAAATGTGCGGACAGAAGGATATTCATCAGGGCATGCCGAACTCCAGATCATAGGCCTGGGCATGTGTGCAGGATTTAAGAAAAAGGGGGCAAACACAGTACTTTCTGATCTCGCTGAATTTATTGCGAATTCAATTGAAGGCAGCTGAGATACCCAATCAGATTGCTTATCATTAATGCATTGATGGAGCATTTGTGTCACCATGCAGTTGGTACGTTCGGTGGACCCATCAGTTTCTGGATGGTAAGCGCTTGACAATTTCAATTTTGTGCCAATCAATTTATGGAGATGTCCCCAGAATACACTGGTGAAAAGGACATCTCGATCACTGATAATGTTCTTGGGTAGCCCATGTAATTTATACACTTCTTCGAACATTAATTCAGCTATTTGCCTTGCATTGTAATTGATCCGGCTTGGAATCAAATGGACCATTGCTGTAAGCAAATAAATGACAACCGTGATAGAGTCAAATACACTATCGCGATTTTTAGATTCAGGCAATGGGCCTACAAAGTCAATGCCTATAGATTCCCAGGGGTGACTAGGAACAGGCAAAGGGTTCAATAAACCATAAAGTTTTTGATTACTTGGCTTGCTTTGCTTGCAGGTAATGCAAGTTTCACAAAATGCTTTGGTATCAGAGACAATATCCTTCCACCAGACATGGTCTCGCAAATAATCCAAAGTCTTACTGGCTCCAAGATGAGCCAATAGTGAGTGAGCTTCTGAGAGAATAATTTCATGAGCACTTCTTCCCTGTATCAGCACTTTGGGAATACAAAGAAGCTTCCGATCTTGATCTTTGAGGAATAGAATTCCCTCCTCAAACTCAAAGTTCCTAAAATCCTGAGGCTTATCAATAATATTTTGAAAGCAGGATCAAGTTTATATTTTCCCTTCAGCTCTTTGAGCAGGTCAATTCTGAGGGTACTTTCGGAGACCATACTCACAAGCGATGGGTAAGTCGGTTGTGTGGAATTTAATTGTTCCACATTTGGGATTGATTGATTGCTAATTATAGCATTCGGCGGCAGTGTGGAATCAGATCTAGATTCCGTGCTATTCTGAGTGGTGTGCACAACATTATTTTTAGCACTCGGTGGCAATCAAATTGTGAGTTTGGCAGTTGTGGGTGCATGTTTTACTTTCAACTTCCCACTTCTGCCCTCCTTTTGTTCTGCAGGGCCTTTCAGAATGAAATGCTCTTTCATACATGCCACAAACTCTTTCGATGTTTCCAGCCGACCAGTCTCAGCACCAGCCAAGACCTTTCTGGGGTGCTTTTGTACAGCCACACATGCCTCGATCCCAGCTAGGACAGGCATGCGTGTGGGCTCAAGTTCAAGGCCATCGTCATCGATGACATCAAAGTAAGTGTATTCACTCAATGCGCATGTTGTACCTGGACTGTCTGCTGAATACATGTGTGACAGGGAATCTGCCACCACATTTTCTGAGCCAGGAATATACATGATGTCAAAATCAAACTTGCTAATCTTTTTGATCCAGCGTGCTTGATGTCCAGAGAGGTTCTTCTGGTTTAGTAAGTGTTCCAGACCTTTGTGGTCTGTAATCCACTTAAATTTTACTCCTTGCAGGATGTCTTGATGCCGCAGCATCGTTTCAATTCCTGCTACCATTTCGATTTCATGTACAGGATAATTCTGCTGTGCAGAATTTAATTTTGTGGAGTAGAATGCAGCAATCTTTGCCGTTTTCCAATTGCTTCCCTGCCTCACAACACCTGCAACACTGGTAGCACACCCATCTGTGACCATCCACACCTGGGGAGTGTTTGGCGCATAATCGACAGGTACACAGTGATGATCTCATGCCGACTGAACAAGCACTTTAACGTCTTCAAACACATGCTGCTCAGTGTATCCCCAACAAAATGGAACAGCATCCCTGGTGAGTCTGTGAAGTACTCCCATGGGAATTCTTACATTAGGAACATCCTCTGCCAGGTAGCCAACAGATCCGAGGAACCCATGCAAGAGGTCTCGATTAGTCAGTGTTTTCCAGTTTAGGACAGTGTCGACTTTATATGGATCCATATGGATACCTTCATCAGTCATGATGCATCTGAGGATCTGCAACTCCAAGCACAGAAAATGGAGTTTCTTTGTGCTCAGGTAAAGTTTTTCACGTCTATAACTGTTTTAACATGATTTACATGCTCCTTAACAGTGTTTGAATAGACGATGACATCGTCAAGGTAAACGTCCA